CCACCACGACCCGGATTTTGTCCAACTGGCTGCTGCTGACCCGGCTGATTATACGGAGCCCCACGAGCCTGATACTGACTCTGACCCGGACCAGATGCCCTTGGCTGGTTACCCCATTGCTGTGGAGGCTGAATTGGTTGCTGGTTGAATGAACCCATCTGGGAGGGCCCACCCCTTCCGCCACCAATCTGGGACCCACCCCTTCCACCTCCACGGCCTTGCTCCTGTTCGTATTGACCACCACCGCGGCCGCGACCACGACCACGGTTACCTCCACCACCACCGCCGCGGCTGCTATCACCTCCACCGCCACGACTGCTGTCACCACCACCACGTCGGTAATTTCCACGGTCCATTTTCCAACTTCACTAAAGAGAGAGAAAAATAAAAACTTTGACTGTAAATTTTCAAAATGAAAAAGCTCAGATGATCTGCAACTGCAAGGATCTAGTTATGTGTACTTATGAAGAGTAAAAAGACTGAACACCGTATATATAGTGGAGACAAAGGAATGTAAGATGACTAAAAAGGGCTGAACTTTGTAACTAAGAGATCGAAAAGGTTAAGAGAAAATGGGAAAGCTGGGGATAAGTACATAGGGGGGTCGTGGAAGTAAGAGGATTCTTGATGATTCTAGAAGGATCGATGAAATGGAGGAAAGGGTAATTGGAAGATAACGAGAAAGTGTGAGGAAATGGCGGATGATTTGATTAAATTAACCTTTTTATCCTATGGGAATTGAGATGTTTTTTTTCGGCTCCCAAGAGCATGGGCGACAAAATAGGAGAACTACTTTTGTATGTGTCGGGATATTGAGAAAATTAAATTGGTACTCCACTATTTTTCTGTTTGAATTGGAGTATAAAAGTATGTAATGTATACAACTGTGTAAGGTGAATCATATGGTATAATTGGTACTAAACGCTGATAATAATATCTATATGTTGATTTGAACATGTGTTAATAAGAATTAAGTTATTTATGGAAGTAAATAATTCAGTTCAGAACTAACCAAGCTATTTTACCATTTTAATAAAACATACTTTCCTTTCCTTGAAGAAAATATTTTTCAAAATTCAAGGTAACCAAAAACTGTAAAACCTTTCCGTTGTACCAAATACATATGTAATGACCACCATGACTTATCAAGTCAGCATAAAATTTTTGTGAATTCAAATTTCAGTATTTTCAGTTTTCATTTTTCATTTCCTAATTCCTGCTATGATAGAAAATAATACGTATGTAGTTTAGTATTTTAGGGAGAGGGATTGGGGGTGGGGATAGTTTTGGTATTTAACTAATCAATTAATTAGTACTATTAAGAATGGGATAAAGTAGTGGGCAAGGAAGAGAAGGTTATTGGTGCAGAGAATCAATATTCTTCGACTACTACTGACTTGGAATTGACGCCGGCAAAGATAACGACAACGAAACTGTAATTGTTCTTTGAGGTTATAATGGTACATACAATAATATTTTTTTATTGGATAGATTTTGTATTATGGCATATTTGTATTTTAAGTTTTAAACACCACGTATTTTCAACACATTGAAGTAAACAACTCTACAAAAAATGGAATCGAGGTGGACTGTAAAGCTGCAATATTTAAGGCTGAAATTAAATGAGATGAAAATGACATAAATAATAGTTCTTAGAAAATAACGTTAAAACTTGCCTACTTTGGCATATCAATGAAAAAAATACATTTACATAGGAGAGTATGGTGGCAAGAATAATGGTGTTTAACCAAAAATAGATTTTTCGGTCAAAGTCAATATTTAGAATAAAATGGGTTACTGATAACCAAGATTTACTTCACTTTTTCAATAACCTTAGGAGAAATTAAAAAAAAATAATGAAGATGGTTAGCAAAGAAAAGTAAGGAATAAACTGATAGTCACTCCCTAAAATCAAGGTTGAAAACTTGAAGAGTAAAGTAGAGAATTATAGTATGTATTTTAGTAATAATCGTAACTTGTCCTTACAAATGAAATTCTTATCCTTATATAGCAGCATATAATCATAACGGTTCTCATACTTAATTCAGACTAATTAAGGGCATTAATAGTATTGATTGCCCATTACCATAGATAACCGTAACTAGCATATTTATGACTAAAGATTTCTTATAACTGTTCTGATTTCTCTTCCTTATTTACTCCTGGTTCGTGTATCTTCCCTTCTTTGCAGTCTTCATTCATTTCGTTCCCGTTTCTCCTTTGACAACTGTCAGACCCAGTTCTTTTCTCTTATGCTACTCAGTGGGTGTTTCTCTCATACCTTCTTTGCATTCTTAATTCGGTTAATTGAGAGTGACACTTATCGCTATATGAGTGTCATGCCTCGTCAGCTTACCAGCTTAATGATGTTCTACGTGTCATGTCTTTTTTCCATCAATACAGATAGTCCCCCCACTTTCTGAATATTCTCAACTGAACATTGGGGAAGTGGTAAGTTTTTATGATGGGAATTCCTTATCGCCGTTTCTCGAGTATCATCATATCTCTTTCAGAATCGATGAGACGTTTGTCACATCTATTTAATGCCCATGCCACGTGGCTAGTTACGATTGGCTCTTCAGTTTCTCAGCACCTTTTAGGTTTTTTTTTTCTGCAGTTGTGTCAGTCACGAAGTGATGGTTCAATTATGATGCTTTATAATGACCAATTTTAACGACGGTTGTATCTTCTTATAAATATTTCATTCTTTTTTATTTCTTGGAGTCTTCCTTCTTCGGTATCTATTACATTACTCCTTTTTTGTATTTATGCATCCTTCCTTCTGTATTTCCTTGGATAATCATGTCATCGACAATGCCAGATCCTCACAAAGTTGTGATTTTTGATGAACTTGCTCCTTCTACTGCCCCTACTAGAAGTAGGAGAGGTGGTGTCAAGACCCAAAATTCCGCCACAGACGTCGTGATGGCACTTAGTCTCTAAGACTAGGTAAGCCGATTATAATAACAATTCAAGCCATTATAT